ACCAATTATCAGATCCATAAATTAAAAAAAAAAAACAAAACGAAATGCATACGAAATAAACCTATATTCTAATAAATAAATAAGGCTTGGTGGATCAGCTATCACTGATAGCATCTGCGATAAACTCCCTCAAAGCAGCAATCTCGGCCACACCTTCATCGTCATGAATTTCAAATTCATTAGAGTCTATCTCATCCTCAAGTAATGAAGGTCTAATCATAAATTTTGAAGGTTCTTCAGACATTCAATTCATCATTGTGAGCCATATTGAAGTCTGTATCTGATTGAGAGGAATGTCGTCGGATGAAGTTATGAAGTGTCTTTGTGGCCATCACAATATGTTTCCATTTTTGAAATGGATACGACGACATATCACGTACGATAACTCATTTCTTCTTCCAAAACCCAAATGTTCTTTCAATTACCCCACGTAAAGAGGAGCAGCGTTTATTAAACATTTATTTTTTGCCACGGATGGTGTTACTTGCTGTCTCAAAATCAGGAATATGTTATCTGGTGTTCGGATAAGGTCTCAGGTAGCCCCTATGTATAGGATATCCAACATCAACCAAATAATATTTTATTGTTATGAAAGACACTGTTAATAACAAATAATACATATAAATAATATGTTTACAAGGCAAAACAAACCTGAAGGCGGTTGAGGGAAATACTGTGATCTATTCCTAGTTATATAGAAGAAAATCCGACTGTCATGTGCATTTCATTCCTAGTCCGCCATCACAAAGTGAAACACGTGTTGAAGTCACATACTGCCATGACATTTCGAGTAGTTGAACCACTCCGACCAATGTACGCCACGTTGTCGTGGCTGAGTAGTCGGGCATCAGCGTGAGTACCGTCGATTGCACCTATACAGTTCTGTTTTACACCTTTAGAAACTAATTATATTCTGAAAGTAGCATGAAGAAACCAATAATTACCTTGAAATAAGGCATGTAACGGAGATTGTGGCAATTTATTCTGGAGTACTAGCAACTGATGGATCCTCTGGCTTAATGATTTGAGCTACTAAGCTAACAAATATTTGCTACCATGAATATTTGTCTACCGGTAGGATCCTCAAGTTTTTATACACAATTTGCATGAAATCGCATATCGACAAGGAAGAACATCCAAAGCTCCAACACATTTTAAGATGGTGCTGTCTGAGAGTGCAGTAGGTGGTGGAGCTGCAAAAACATCAATGAGTCGATCGAATGAGATTTTCACAAAATTGTCATTTTCTTTCTTTCTCCTACCAAGCCTGGGCCTCTTTGACAGTAAATTGGACTCCTCCATCTCCTTTTAGTTAATACTACACACTTCTTCATCAGCTGTCACCTGCTCAGGTGGGAAGTCATCGGGTATGTCTGTAAACCCCATCTCACTAAGGTTGAATGCATGCTTTCTCGTCGCGACAACCCCCTTAAACGTTATGTCAATTTATTTTTTCACTGTCGGCATTGCCTGTAACATTGTATTGAGGAGGGGATTTAGAGGTATTATTTGCTAAACCAAAACATTATGACAATAAACAAATTTAGAGTGTAAATATTACCACAAATTTCTCAACTCACCATTCATCTAGAGCATCAATTGCCCGCTTAATGGGAACCCAACGCAACCCGGTAGATCCACGTTTTAACCCCTTCCAAATTTTCCACTCTTTCTTCAATTGATCCTATTTGTTTTTGAATTTCAGCCTGTCGTAATCCTTGCTGTCAATTCTTTAAATATTTTTGCAATATTTTGCCAACTTTCCTTGTTGAAATACATGGTTGATCTATTTCTGATTTCAATTTCTATAATACAGAGATTACAAAAAATATTCGTAACTTTCATATCCCACATAGCTGACAAAC